AGGTAATCGTACAGACTACTTATCATGACATACTATCGTGGTTCATAAGAAAGTTCGCTCAATAATTTCACAAAATTTCTTATAGAGCATACGGGCAAAAACCATCTTAAAAAGCAGACTTGTTCTTGAAACAACATTCAAGACTTTCTATCTCAATGGCTAAGGGTGGTAAAATATTGATAATAGCAAAAAGTTGATTGATAGACAAAATTTATCTATTTGTTCTTCATATTATTCTTTTTTCACAAGCTTACAGAAAAAACAGCTGCTATGAACATTTATTCAAACCTGGGCAAACCTACTAACAAAAAAAAACTCCTGCGCAGGTCATAGGACTCTTTTTTTATGTTGATCTTTGAAAGAGAAGGAGAGATTTTATCAGTTTTTCATCACTACTGGCGAAGTTTCTCTTTGAAGCCATTCAAGCAAAGAAGCCTACAGCAAAAACGGTTAGGTACACTGCACCAAAATCTATGAGCAGCTACTAAACAAACTCCTGCGAAGCTTGTAGGGCTATTTTTAAGTTGATTCTTGAAAGTCGAGATTTCCACCCTCTAATTTTTATTAAGTTCTTCTTCGCTACCAAATAAGATGTTCAAAGTCATTCAAGCATTGCAGAAATTTAGAAGCCATTTAAGCACGATTATACCAGACGGAAATGCTCATTTTATACTAGTCAGAGATGCTCGTTTTATACTAGTCGGAAATATTTAATTTTTATTAGAGTAAACAATGTGTATATTTATAACAGCGTCTCCACCCTTATAATTATTGATTATAGTTTTACAAACTGCTACAGAATAAAACGGCTACGAATATTTTACTGAAACGTGGACAACAGTAATGAATGCAGTATTGAGCATCTCATAAGGTAATTTTAAAATTATTTAAGGGGGCTTGGTTTTTTTACCCTGAAGAATTTCTCTTAGTCCTTCACTTTTCATCATTGAAAAAATCTCGTGCAACTTACAGCGCATTATTTGGAAACTGCCACATTGAGGATTCATCATTACTCAAGTTCGCTGTTGTACTTTGTCTCTACGTGGTTTTCTGCGAGTATTTAAGTGAGTTTTCTAATAGTAGACGATTACTATAGTAGATTTATTATTATTACTAGCTGTGTACCTGTCCTTCGTACAGGTT